GCTCGTGTTGACTTGTCCTTGGTAGCAGGCTGATCACGCCTTTCAGCAGTATGATGCTGGATAATTTATGTTGCTCGACCTGTCTGGCTCCACTTCAGCCGGATGACGGGCATGACTTGTGTCCCTCCTGCCTCGGTGTGGAACATCTCCGGGAGGCGCTGTCAGATGACGCTTGCCCCAACTGTCGCGTCATGCCCCGGTCGGTCAGACTGGATCGGTTGGCTGCACTGGAGCAGCCTACCGACTGGGCGAGCGCTTCGCCGCGTGCTCGTTTGCCGATGGAGAAAGCGGTGTGCAAACGATCTACTGTGGCTGCACCTTCGGTACCGACGAAGCGTGCTAGACGGACCGATGCAGGGAGGTTGTCCACCAGAGTGGATCATCTCACTACTGAGCTGGCCCAAATGAAAGCCCTCCTCCAGTCCTTTCAGACTGCTGGTGATCGCGGCACGGCTCTCCCTACCGAGCAGGATGAAACGTCAGTCAATGACGACGATGCTGTTTCTGTGGCGGCCTCTGGCACCCATTTCTGTGAGGACCTTCCGGAGCTGGGCTCCGGGGCCTCTGGGTCGGACTCCATTGCCTCCCAGGAGGATACGGGGGAGTCTGTGACATCCGCTATTCGAACGGCTCTTGCCCGTTTACAGATTAGTGTTCCTCAGGCCCAGCCTGCGGCTTCCAGCGCCTTCTTTAGGCGCAGTAGGTCAGAGACTGCCTTTGTGGTTCCTCCCTCGGCGGAGTATGTGCGGGAACTGCATGCTTGCTGGTCAGACACCAAGGCGTTTTCACGTCTGACGACGGATGGCAGGGTCCTGGCAGCTATGCAGGAGGCACCCAAGGTTGGCTTGGGGCAGATGCCAGCGGTGGAACCGGGCATTGCCTCTCTTATAATCCCGCCTGATGAGGCCTTGCGGCCCAATGCCCGTTGTCCGCGTCCTCAGTGCCGTATTACCGACGACCTTCTCTGTAAGGCCTATGACTCTGGGGCCCGCATGGGCCGGATTGGGAACTCTCTCTCCCATCTTATGCTGACCCTGTCTTCCTCCTTGGAATCTGTTCCGCTGGATCATGCCACGCAAGGCCTGGTTGATGCATCTCTGAAGGCCTTTGCTCTTATGACGAGGGAACTTGGACGCACACTCTCCACACTGGTTCATGCTCGCCGCCAGGTCTGGTTGGCGCAGTCACCACTAACTGAGCCTTGTAGGAGGACCCTCCGGGCCCTGCCTGTGGTCCCGGGGGAGCTTTTTGGTTCAGCGGCACTGGACGCCTTGGACCGTACGGCTCAGGCCTCTAGAACGAGGCAACAGCTGGCAGGGCTTCACAGACGTGATCGCCAGCCAGTAAGCACCTGGGCAGCTGCGGGTCCTTCACGGAGGTCCTTAGTGCCTTCTCCTTCTCCCACTGAGCCCCAGGGTCTGTTACCAGGTCAGAGATCGGTCCGGGGACCTGCTCTAGATCGGAGGAACAGAGCTCGAGACCAGGCTGGGACGAGGTCCTTTCATCCCTTTCGAGCCGCGCAGTCTGGCCGGCGTCCTCCCGGGCCTTCGAAGGGCCGGGGGACCCGCAGATGATGCCTTAGGGCCGGCGGTCGGTTATTTTTCCCCGGGACAGCTCAGCTTCTGGGCTGCCCACACCCCGGACTTGTGGGTGTTGTCCACCCTGTCCCGGGGGTACCGTCTTCAATTCCGCCGCCGGCCACCTATCCCTGGCCGGGTCAGGATGACTGTGATCCACGACCCGGTGAAGGCACAGGCACTGAACCAAGAAATCTGCACCTTGCTGGCCAAGGGTGCTATAGTGCCTGTGGACCCCCTGCTGGATCCAGGGGGCTTTTATTCCACGTATTTTCTGGTTCCGAAGAAGACCGGGGGCCTGCGTCCAGTCTTGGACCTCAGAGGCCTGAATGTGTACTTGAAGGCCATGCCCTTTCATATGCTGACCACCAAGGAAGTGTTGCAGGCGATTTCCCCGGGCGATTGGTTCACTTCCATAGATCTCAGGGATGCTTATTTTCACGTTCCGATCGCTCCGCCCCATTGGCGGTTTCTTCGTTTTGCTTTTCAAGGGAGGCATTTCCAGTTCAGGGTCCTCCCGTTCGGACTTTCACTGTCCCCCAGGGTGTTCACCCGATGTGTTGCAGCGGCCCTCTCTCCTCTGCAGGCACAGGGATTGAGGATCCTCCCATATCTGGACGACTGGCTCATTTGTGCCGCGACGTGGGACCAGGCGGTTCGAGATACTCGGTTAGTGCTCCATCATGTGGGATGCTTGGGCTTGCAGGTGAACATGGAGAAAAGCAGTCTGACCCCCTCACAGGAGACTGTCTTCCTGGGCATTGCCATGGATTCCATCTCAATGACTGCTTGCCCGTCACCCCAGCGGGTGGACAGTATATTGAGCGTGCTCCCGGAATTCAGGCGTGGCATGGCGCTGCCTCTTGTGCGGTATCTTCGACTCTTGGGCATGCTTACAGCTGCGTCCGCCGTAGTGCCCTTGGGGCTGCTGTCATTGCGGCCCCTCCAGATGTGGTTGAACAGCTTGAATCTGGATCCCACACGGAACACTCATCGTCTCCGAGGACTTTGGATGGGGCCTCAGTGTCTTCAGTCTCTGTCCCAATGGAGGGTGAGGTTGTTTATGACCACAGGGGTCCCGCTCGGTTCCCTCCCGTGTCGTCGGGAAGTTGTGTTTACAGATGCATCCTCCACGGGCTGGGGTGCAAACTGGCGGGGTCAAATGGCACAGGGGACATGGTCCCAGCGGCAGGGCAGGGAACACATCAATGTCCTGGAGTTACAGGCTGTGCTTCTGGCTCTTCAGAGCTTTCTTCCAGGCTTGCGGGGGAAGCACGTGCTGGTGAGGTCAGACAACACCACAGTGGTCTTTCACATCAACCACCAGGGGGGCACGAGGTCAAGGAAACTGTTGTGCTTGACTCAACGGCTTCTGACCTGGGCAGCTCCACGCATAGCCAGCCTCAGAGCAGCCTACATCCCAGGGCCGGAGAACGTGCCAGCAGATTTTCTATCCCGTCAGAAGCCGCTTCCAGGGGAGTGGAAGCTTCACCAAGAGGTGGTGGAGTGCATCTGGAAGGTCTTTGGCAGGGCGGACGTGGACCTCTTTGCCTCAAGGGACGCATTTCACTGTCCCCTTTGGTTCTCGTTGGACAACAGCAGCCCTCTGGGCCACGATGCTCTGGCACACGACTGGCCCAGGACCCTCCTTTATGCCTTTCCGCCATTCAGCCTACTTTTTCAGACTCTCCTCAGGGTACGTCAGGAGGGGCACAGGGTCCTGCTGGTGGCCCCCTACTGGCCAGCGAGGACTTGGTTTCCTCTACTGTGCGAGCTCAGCTCCGGCTCGCCAATGCGTCTCCCCTCCAGGAGAGACCTTCTTTCCCAGATGGGGGGTCAGATCTTGCACCCCGAACCGGACCGGCTCCAGCTCTGGATTTGGCCCCTGCAAGGCCGGGGTCCACCTTCTCAAGATACACTGGGTCCATAGGGCATACAATGGCTAATGCATGGGCGCCGTCCACGCGAGCTGTCTATGCTAACAAGTGGACGGTCTTTGCGACCTGGTGCCGTGATAGAGGGCAGGACCCGGTGCAGTGCTCAGTTTCTGACATACTGACCTTCCTGCAGGCATTGCTGGATCAAGGACGGTCCCCATCTACCTTAAAGGTGTATGTGGCTGCCATTTCCTGTTGGCATGTTGGGCTGAATGGTTGTTCTGTGGGCCGAGACAAGGATGTTGTACTGTTTTTAAGAGGTGCTCGGCGTTTGCACCCACCCAACCGCCCTGTGGCACCGGCGTGGGACCTTTCTCTTGTGCTTGAGGCTCTTCGGTCCCTCCCATTTGAGCCCCTGGCGTCGGCGGACCTCAAATGGCTCTCACTGAAGACTGCGTTCCTTTTAGCTATGGTTTCCGCAAAACGTGTAGGGGAGTTACAGGCTCTCTCGATAGCCGAACCCTGCTGCCGGTGGAATCCTGATGGCTCAGGCGTTACACTGTGGGCTGATGTAGCATTTATTCCTAAGGTATCACTGCCAGCAGGCAGCACCCAGCCTCTCCATCTTGCCCGGTTTGACTCCGGAAGTCCCTCTGAACCACTGTGTCCTGTCCGTGCCCTTGAGACATACATCAATGCCACGGCATCCTTCCGAAAGACAAATAGCCTTTTTGTTTGCTACGCTGGCTCACGGAAAGGTCAGGCACTTTCTAAGCAGCGACTTGCACACTGGGTTGTGGATTTGATCTCCAAGGCTTATGCCTTGCAGGACCGGCCACTGCCGGCGGGAGTGAAATGCCACTCTACAAGGGGCATGTCGACATCGTTTGCTGCTATGACTGGGGTGCCATTGGATGTTATATGTCGTGCGGCCTCCTGGAAGTCACCTAGTACCTTTACTCGGTTCTACAGGGTGAATGTGGCTGCGCCCCATCCGCTTCAGGGAATCCTCGAGCAGCATGCCTCTACATCACATTAGGTGGGTGGTGTAGTCGTTGTTCCTTGAATGTTGCTGATTCCTCGTGACCTTGTTGATATGAGTCATCCAGTGCTTGAAGCACCGCCTCTGGCGGTCAGTAGGGATGAAATAGAACGAAAGTTACTACCGTAACTACGGTTCTATGAATCCCGGATGACCGCCAGAGTGCTTGGTCCCTCGGAATCTCTGCTTTCGCGAGAAGATTGAGGGATTGATTGCCGGGTGCCACGTGACTATATAGAGTCACGTGGGTCCCCGGCAGGTCACAGCTGACTTTGTTGTCATTAATACTCGACCTGCGCATGCGCAAGAATGATCATTCAGTGCTTGAAGCACCGCCTCTGGCGGTCATCCGGGATTCATAGAACCGTAGTTACGGTAGTAACTTTCGTTTTATCATTACATTATGGAAAATAATGAACTTTATCACAATATGCTAATATTTTGAGAAGTACCTGTATGCTGTGCTATGTGTTGCATAATGGTCCATATAGGTATAGTGCTAACCTCATAGTCCAAATCAAGATGATCAAATTCTCCATTAGTCCTGAAGTGTCGAGTATGTCCATCTAAGGAGAAGTTAACATTGCGACGGTAGCGTTCAATCACCACAGAGTGCCAGTGATTGTCATCTAGGAGACTTCCAGTGGTCACAGAAGTATGACCCAGGATAGAGCCATACTGGTTACTGCCTGTAAGACACATGCAAAGAGAGTAACAAAACATCAACATTAACTTATTGAATGTTTATAGATGTTTGAGATTGGCCTGTTTTTCCAGTGTAGTCCTGTGTCTCTGACTGTGACTGGCTGGATGTGCTCTCTTCATCCTCTGACATGGGAGCTCCTCTGCCTGGCTGTGTGTTTCCTTGATGTGGCCACCTTTTAAAGTTGCTTTTTGTATCTCTGCTTCTGTCTCCTTGAACCCCAGTCAGACTCAGCAGATGGCCGCTCACACTGGGCCTGGTACTGCTGAAGGTTTCTTCTCATTAAAAGGGATTTTTTCCTCTTACTGTCACTACAAGCATGCTTAGTGTGAGGCGTTGCCTTCGAGTCAATGAGTCGATGCAATCAACCTGTTTTCCTTAGATAGAAAACTGAATCAATTTGACTGTATGATCTGGTGAACTGTAAAGTGCCTTGAGATGACATGTGTTGTAAATTGGCGCTATATAAATAAACTGAATTGAATTAAATGCACTGAGGTTTTAGGTGGTGAAAAGGGACCAAATCCAAAATCTGATTATTTTTTTTGAAAAACAAACGCATGAAATTAAGAAGTATCAGGTGGTGTAAAAGGCAACAGTTTTCAGAGAGGATGACGTTACAAAAATCAGAAGACTGAAATATAGCAACTTCCATCAGTATCAATCAGAGATTTAATAAAGAATAAGCCCTGAGAAGCTGTAGGTTAACAGGGATTTTAAGACACGAAGCAGAGTACACCTCCGCTGTTGTAAAATCTCTGTAACCCATAGAATCAAGGAGCTTATTGCTCTATAAAATGTTCATCCTTCATATTACCAATAAAGAAGAATAAAAATCCCCCCAAACATACACACTTTTAAAACTGTTGGTAATAATGAAACAACACAACCACAGAGTTAACAGCATGGTTAGCAAGCAACCAAGGTTCTCTTGGGAAGTTTTTTGCACCGTCTCTCGCCTGAGATTACTGAAGATGACATGGTGCTGGAGTATGGTCTAAAATGCTAATTTATTTAGAAACTTGTAAAAGTTTTTTTAGATTTTGTAATGTTGGTTTGCACCTCCCAGCCACCGTACTGGAGTTTCAACTGGCTGCTTTACAAATTCAAGGAATGTTATGCCACACGTTACGCCTGTTAATACTAGCACAGCTATATCTAAATGTGGGTCACACTGTATTTCATTACAACATGGAACACGGCTCAGCCAATCACATTTAGGAAGGGAAAACACGTGTTTTACAAAAAGCTATTTAAAGACAAACTGTATTTTATAGAATATCTAATATTTAAAGAGCTATCTGGTATTACTTCAAGTTATATAGTTTTTATAAATACCTTTTTAAACATACGGGAATTCAACTGCTACCTGAGAAAAAATTTCTTTAGATGATTGAAGCCTAAACACATATTAGTTAGGAAAAAAACTTCCACACTTTTTCATTCCCAACGACATGACACCAACAGTTTACTTACCTAAGTTTATCTGCAAGAGTAGCTTGGCCTTACGGAGCTCCAGAGTGATGTAGTCGCCCTGCTGCCCTTCCCCATGGAGAATCACACCCTCGCTCTCTGATGTCTTAAATCTCAATGCGATCACATCTTTTATAATCTTCATCTTCTTCACCTTTAAAAATGTTAACACCAAATTCACATTTCATTGTTCATATACACACACAAAAACAAAATAAAATGGCCCTTATTTCAGTACTTATATTTTGTTGGAAATTTTAATAATGAATTTATGGATAATGTACCTTGAAACGATATGAAATGACTCCCTGTCCATCAAAGTTGATAACGTCCGCCCCTACAAAAGAACAAAAACATACAGATAAATCATGTGAAGAATAGAGAGAATACACATTTTTATTACAAAATATATGCTAAGACGACCTCAGGACTACACCAAATAAATGACTGGTTTTGAAATTTTTGTAAAATAAAAACCACAATGAACTAATTACACCCTTTCATTCTCTTCTAAGTACAAGTGCAGAAAAAGCTGTAATTACTATTAAAATTGTGAGAAAGCATATTCTACAGCAGGTATTTAGTTTCTTTTGTTCAGACAAGTGCAGAAACATGACAGGGCAATGAAACAAGCAGAAAAAAGAGCAGAATGACTGAGAACATGCCTTAGTATACTTTGTTTTCATGAATATTAACAATAAAATAACAAATGCTAAAATATGCATGAGTATAAATAATAGAATTACTGATGTCCACATCAGCTGAATGTTGTCATTTGTACATGTTGACAAAATGATACAGTGTCTTGCCTTACAAGAAAATGAAAAAGAAAACAGTTTTTGTTTTGACTCCTAAAGCTGCCACACTCAAGATAAGCACCAAAAGGACACCACAAACTGAATGCAATTTTTGGCCATTCAGAGGCGAAATAAAGTGTAGTGGCTGAGACACCTCCTCCATCTTTTTATCTTAACTCAAAGAGTTCAAGTGGCTAGTGGGAAGAACATTGGTGTGTCTGTGAGAGAGATGGGTTAGAAAATACAGAATGCAAAGGGTAGGATAGAAAATCTGACCGTTATTGACCCATTCGTATAATGTTTCCCAGTCTAATGCATCTGTGTGGCTTTGGACAGTTCTAAAACATTCGGACACTTAGCTAACCTTTTTTAGTGATCAATATTAGATTCCACATAAACTTTCATGTTCTACCTTGTGGCTTTGTTCATACACCCGATGAATAAAGCTCATTGCCAGAATACGTGCAAGAGCACCAAAGGGCATTAAATCAATTCAGCAAAGTGCACCTATTTCAGCACCTTATTTTCAGCTAATACCGAGTTAAAGAGATTTTATTCATATTTTTTTCCCTCAACTTTTTTTTTTTAAACATAATTAGTAGGCAAGAAATCTCACAGGAAGAAAATGTGTTTCAGAATTAAATACAGATGCCACAGGATGTAAAAGACAATGGAATAAGGAACCTTTTTAACTGAATCACAGTGAGATAAAACGCACAAAGGAATTAAGCCTAATCAGAATTTAAAACTATAAATATTTTTAGCAAAATATATTTTACTAAATGAACAGGAAAAATAATAAGAAAGATGAATGCCAGGTTATATTTGCTGGCTCTGTGCTCGTAAGACACTGATAATGTCAAATAAACGAGATGTTTCTGGCTGCAGATCTGCACTGTCAGGACCCAGACCTGCACTGTCAGGATGCTTCATTGCAGACTTGCACAATGCAGTCTCCTGCACTGTCAGGACTGGAGGTTTATTATGGAGTTTTATTTGAAGCCTTCAGGAAAAGCGCATAGCATGTATATGCTGCCAGATTTTATTAGAAGAAGAGGACATTTTTTGCGAGATGAGTGCTAGCTTAAATGAATAGAAGATCCTTGTGAATAGATAAATAGATTTCTATTATGAAAACCCAGCAAATAATAACGAGAATGTAAAATGCTTCCAGTATACTATAATTTACTTTAGAAAGGCTTGGAATAAACTTCCGGTTCTGAAAGCCCAGGAAACCTCAAAGTGCAGGTCTGCAACGAAGGGTTCTGACAGTGCAGGTCTGCCGCTAAAATGTCTTGAAATAAACTGTCGTCAAAACAGAGACCTCCTAAAATGATTTTAGGAGCATTTCCATCTCTGGTTTGGCCTTAAAAAATACTTTAGACACCAATAAAAACCCCTAATAGCTTTTATATACATCTATCTATCCTCTCACAGAGAAAACAGGCATAGTGTGAAAAAAATCAAGCAACTGTTAAACTATGTTGTCATGAATCTTTTTTTTTACTTTATACATTATTTTGTCACAAAAATCCTTGTTGATTAAGCTTCAAGGTTAAATAAAACTAATTAGACACTATTATTTAACAGTGTAAAGTTTTGCCTAAGAGACGAGACCAGGGTCACATTGAGGTCAGTCAAGTACCGCATAGAGTAGGAGGTTAAAATGTGTCCATGGAAACAAGCCTGGCTTTCTGAGCAACAAATAAAAAAAAAACAGATAATTACAGTATAATATATACCCATCATGGAAAAGCAGCAAGGTCCAAAATTTTTAATAAAATATTCATAACTTTTTTATTACATCTTTAATCAATAATTATGGATCATATGTTGTTTGTACACACATCAGTGTGTGAGTGTGTGTGTGAATGGGTGAATGAATGTAGTGTAAAGCGCTTTGGTCAAGTCTCCTAACTTGAATAAAGGCGCTATATAAGTACATGCCATTTACCATTTACAAACACAACAACCCTAGAGGTGATAGTAAAACTGCTTCTGTCAGGTTTCTGTTTCTGTTATTTTTTTCTTTTGAGTATTCAGTCTTACTTTACTCCTTGTCTTCTAGTGTTTAGTCTTCTTTTCTCCATGTTTTATATTCCTAGTAATTTAATTATCATTTTGTTGTTATTTCCAGTCTTCCAGGTTTCTATTTGTTGCTCTCTGCTGCCCTCTCATGTTCTCCTTCTTCCCTAGCTCTTTCCCTGTCTTGTTCTGTACACACCTGCTCCCAGTTTCCTCATTAGCCCCCTCTTTGTCTCAGTCTCCTTTAAAAGCCCTCTCTCTTCAGTTCCCCTTTGCTGGGTCCTCGTCAAACACCGTCAAACATGCTCCAACTCCTTCTCTCTGAGCCTTCCTCCTTATGATTGTGATTCCCCTGATGTCTCCATGGTTTCTGGTACGTTTAGACTAGTTTTCATGTTTTGATTTTTGGACACCTGGTTTCATATTTGTTTGGATTTTGTTTTGTTTTTGGATTGTTGGATAACCTGCCCTTTGTTTTCTGTTAACTCATTATTAAATCCACAAGAGATTCACCTCGGCCTCCCTGCCTCTGCTTTTGGGTCATCTAACCATAGCCAAATCGTGACAGCTTCATCATGTCCTAAAAGAAAGATGCCCTTATTTAGTGCGTCTTCCACAGATCCTTTCTCTAAGAGAAAAAATAAGAAGCAATTTTTTTTTGTTGTTTTCTTTTTTTAAATCAAATCCAGATAAAAAAATAAATTATCAAGTTTTCAACAATAATAAAGCTGAGGACTGGACTTTTGCTGCTTCTCCAGAGTTACATTGAGCTTCTGGTTAGCTTCTATTAACAAGACTCATCTTGCTTAGTCTATCTGTGTAGGTGGACAGCCTTGCTTGTAGGTTCTGGAGTCATGTTATTTGTTGTCTTTCTTTTTGAAGGAGGATTTAACAATACTCCAAATTATGCTCAATGTTAAGGGTGTTTTAAACTAAGCCTACTTTAGATTAACTCCATTTCTTTCCTAAACTGTCTGGATTAATAAAACGAAATTAAAGGGGTTGTAGAATGCAAACCAGAGTCATGGATGAATAATGATAGTTCAGGGAGTGAAATGGAAGTACAGAGAAGTTCAAATCCCATCCACACCTCCTTTCTCTGCAAATCTCACAATTCCAAACTTCCATCATATAAAGGGCGAATCCAAACGAAGAAGAGAAGAAGGGTGGTGCCTTATTTGGTTCTGGTCTGTACTTTTGTCATGCCCTGAAATTTACATATAAAAAAAGCCCACCGGTTCACCAGCCCAAGAACATGAATAGAGGTCGCAAAGATGTAAGACAATAGTTTAGCTGTTACGCCTATAGTTGTGTTTACTTCCACAAGAACTACGTGCTGCACTGTATTCGACCAAAATCACAGAAGATTGTGAAACCCCCCTCAGACATTTTTTTTAGGTATGAAAAGTAGGACATGTCCGGGAAAAAGAGGACGTGTGGTCACACTTCCACAACAATTTCAATGTTTCAGTGAGTGAGTGAGTGCTTGTTGTTATGATGCATCTGTGCTCAGCAGCTTCACTCATTGTTAACCAACCAATCAGCGCACAGCTCATTTAAATATTCATGAGCATACCATAAAAGAAAGAAAACCTGTTGTTTCATTCTACGGCTTTTAACCAGGCTTGCATTAGGGCTCATAGAACAGCAGATATGCCATTTTCAGCCCAACCAATATTACACATTCAGAGACCTTAAGGACCAGCACCAAATATATAATATATGTATAATTGCTCTATGACCCCTTTAAAATAAATACCACATAATCTTTTATCCTTTTTTTTATAAAGCTTAGGAAGCATTTCTTTAATTTTTTACTTCAGAGTTATGCACCATTCTGTGCTGGTCTATCAAACATAATCCAAATAAAATGCAATATGGCTTTTAGCTATCCCTTGATAAATTAGGAAAAAGGTTTGTAAATACCTCTGAGACCCACAGTTCATCAGAATAAGCTCATGACAAACTTAGTGTGTTCATTTATAAAATATTTTAACTTTAGCTTCTTCTGGTTCTTGGTTATGCAACACAAACATATTATGACCTGTCTCAATACTGATCTAATTGATTTCTCCTGTAGTGTTTACCTTAATGATAATGGAAATGAGCATGTAAATTCCCAAGCATGGTGGATCATGTCTCCTTTATAGCCCTTAGCTTTGGCACAGACACATACACAGATGTACACATACACGTTCACTCTTATTGCACAGTCTTAGATGAGTCATAATATGGCATTGCTTTTAATTATCACACACTCTAAAAGCCCAGAATTATCATCTACAGCCCACATATTTGGTGATTATGCTTGGAACATAACATCTATATTTATCTGCCTCCTTCTCCTCCTACAACTACTCCTTTGTGCTTCCCTGGTTTCTTTTTTTTGGTCATAGACCAACAATATACCTCTCCCCTGTTACATCTTTCCTTTGGGAAGAAGACAAACATTTTAAGAGGGGCAGATTCTAAGCAGCCGTGGAGTAGTATGAGAGAAGGATGGGTAAATGAACAG